CGCAAGCGGCCCGCGGCGATGTCACTCCGGCCGCGCTCCCCGAAGGCGGGGCAGGCGGAGGATCCTTTTCCATCGGACGGAGCGAAACTCAGCCTCCCGCCCCCCGCAGCGGAGCGGACGGCCACGCGATGGTTTTCCGCGCTGGGTCGGGAACATTTTCAAACACAGAAAGTTGCATCTTACTGCGAACGTTTTGCCTTTGGACTGTTTTAACTGTCTGGCATTAAATTTTACTGCACTGCACCCCTAGCACACGACCCCTCTATCCACCCGTCCTTATTTTTTCATAGTAATATTTTTCAAGTAAGTTATACGGCATCACTTTAAAAAAAGATCTCCGGCCCATGCATGATAAGGATGATACACTGAGCGCCCGAGCGCAGCGCCCAGGCCCGTTCTAAGCGCAGCGCAAGCCGTGCCACGTGGAATCGTCCAAAACAAAACGCTGCCTTTACCCTTTTCCGGGACAGAGCGGCGTGGACGTGGGGATAAATTATGTGGCCCAGCGGCAGAGGTAATGGGGGCTCCTAATTATAAACAGGTGGCTCATATTTATTTATTAAACCGCCTTGTGTCTGACGTTGTGGATCAAAGACTATTTGCATCCGACTCCAGGAAACAATCTTAACACAGATTCGGGGCTGAAGTTAGCACTGGGCAGGATCTTCCTCTCTCGTCCATCTCAACCGGTGTTTTGGAAACGTTGATAACCTTTGGGGGATGGAGGGGACGGGTTTAGCATGATCTTTTTGTCAGGTTTGTCTTTCTTCTGCGTATCTGTACATTTCAGGGTGCTTCCGTGACCTTTCCCACCTCAGTGAAAGGAAAGGCGGATGTGGAGTCGGGGAGACCCGCGTTGCAATCTGAGAGCTTCACATCTCAGCCTTGTCCCCGGGGCCAGTGACTTCAGTTTTCATAGCTCCAATTTGCTTCTCCTCCACAAAGGGATATTATATCTGCTGTCAGAGGAGGCATGTGGGAGTGCGAGGAGATAACGTGTGTTAAAGACCTTGATCCACGGTGGGTTTTTTATTTTTTTTAAAGTTTTTTAAAATACATTTTCAGCCCTAGCCGGTTTGGCTTGGTGGATAGAGCTTTGGCCTGTGGACTGAAGGATCCCAGGTTCGAATCCGGACAAGGGCACATGCCCGGTTGCGGGCTCGATCCCCAGTCGGAGGTGTGCAGGAGGCAGCAGATCAATGATTCTCTCTCATCATTGATGTTTCTATCTCTCCCTCTTCTTTCCTCTCTGAAATAAAAAATATATTTAAAAATTTTTAGAAAAAATATTTTTATTAATTTCAGAGGAAAGGCGAGGGAAAGAGAGAGAGAAGCATCAATGATAAGAATCATTGATCATTCCACAGTGGGTTTTCCAGGATTGGTTAATTTAATGCCTCAACGATGCTATCAAGGAACAGGTCCCCTACACTTTCCCCTCTTCCATTCCACCATTTAGTTAACTCCCCTCACAGTTCCACAATTCTGGGAATGCCACACAGATATGACAGTATCTAGTAGCAGACGAGGAAATGTTTTTCTGCAATGTCTCTCTTAAAAAATATATAGATAGCCCTAATTGGTTTGGCTCAGTGGATGGAGCGTCGGCCTGCGGACTGAAAGGTCCCAGGTTTGATTCCGGCTAAGGGCATGTACCTTGGTTGTGGGCACATC